ACAGAACAGTAATTATGAGCAAAAAGGTTAGTCAGAAAATGCTTTCACCAGGTCTCAAATTTTTCCAGTGAGCCATCAAATTTTCATTGAAATGCAGAGAACAGAAAATACACATAAGCGATGTGTGATAAATAGACTTATAAGGACATGTTTTTAAACTATTCTTAGTGTATACAGAATTTGGCTATTACTGATGTAATTGATTGCTATAACCAGAAGTGTGTTTATCTGTTACATGAAGTGCCGGAGTGGAGATCAATAAAGTTTAAAACGAAAAGCGTGTGAGCGATACAAAACAACACGAAGAAGCGAATGTCACTTGAAAGGAAACGTCACTTTCACCAATCTGAGCGATAACTGATTCTTGTTTGGTTTTCAGCCTGTTTGCCAAGTGAAGATGGTAACCCTATTTCGCCAAAGGCTGTTTCTCAGAACTGTTGCTACAAACGTTTTGTCCCGGCAACAAACAGCTAATGTGATAACGCTTTAAAATGCTATTACGCCGCTAGAATGCGGAGGGAAAATTTGCCAAGGGATTTGGCGACGGAACCTGGCGGCCAGAATTTCCCTTTCCGCGATGTGTACAGGAAATTGAGAAACACGTGTTAAGAAGAAACGTTCTTTGACAAAAAAGAAAACTACGAAAATTCGTTTTTAAATTATTGCAAAAAATCCAAGAAGAAACGTTTTATCAAAGGACGTTTCTTTTTTTTTCCCTGAAAATAACTAATCCATGAATTAATTTACTTGCACCAAAAAATATTTTCTTTTCCTTTAGAGTTTAACCACTTGCGCTAAGACTAAACTTCACGGTTGCGGTGCCACACGCTACAATATAACAAGAGGTAAAGTATCTCATTTACGCCGCTCCGCACCTGCGAGTGCAATCCAGAGCTGTAACTCAAGAAATAAACAATCTCGTTGTTAGGCGATGTGTGCACCACGTTATTTTCATTTTTGCGATAAATGCTTATCGACGTAGTGTTCACGTCGCTCGCGATTTGAGACAAAAGCAACTCGACATGCGTGGCACGTTTTTTTAGCGCAAGTGGTTAAAGAAATTTTAAACAATATTCATTTTATGAACTTTTGATAACGTGACCTTCGAACTTCGACACCGGTTTCGAGCTTGGGCGACAGATATATCACGCATGCACAGCTGTTTCCCTCTATGATGGAACGGAGCCACGTCTGTTGCAGAGAGGTTTTCCTTTTTTACAATACATATTCTTTGATTCTAACCTCCATGGTACCGTATACTAGGATTAAACCCATTTTGTTTTATATGAGAACAAGTACTTTCTTTAGTTCATGCACTGCACATGCGATTCCCGAGAATACTGGAAACCAAAGGTTGCGGGAAACTTGCTTTGCCTTTCTAAAAGACAATCAAATTGGAGCTGCGAAAATTGGCTCTATGCCAGCTGCCCGAATGACACTCACGTGATACACGATTCGCCAAAAAAGTTCTCTTCCGACTTCGGCGCAAAAATCGCTTTTTTTGGCGGGATCGTTGTATGAAATTCCCTGACTTTTCCAGATTTTGACAAAAATACTTAAATTTCCTGACTTTTCCTTGAATTTTTTGGACAATTTTTGAATTCCCTGACTTTTTTCCGGTTCTCCCGGTTTTCCAGGTAGCGTGGCAACCCTGTTTCAAAAACCAAAAATCATTTGACAAAATATGATTAAACATGGCAACATGAACTGTTTGTGCAGATAATATTTGTGATGGCTGGAAAGCTGGAAACTTTCATTACAACCTGATGCACGTGTATCTTGCAATCTGTCCAAAAATTAAGGAAATACATTAAAAGTACATAAATCCAGTTCTAAAATACCAGAGGCATTTTGACATTAAAATTAGAATACCTTTCTCTCATGGCAGTTTTGGAAAATTTAGGCTTTTCTTAGGGTCTCCGACTGACATCATAAGGTTTTCATGGCGTATCTGAGCAAGCAATACTAAATATATTCGAACACTGTCAGCATTTGGTTGCAAAAAATCTGAACGCACGCCTGTATACGTTGCTTCATTGCATTATTAGAACAGTCAATACAATTAGAAGCAATTTATTGCATGACAGATTTTTTGGCCAGCTTTGTAGTGAAAATGATGAAGATTGCAAGCAACAGCTCCTGCACACAAAAGTTTGTTAGCTGTCAAGATGCATTTGTCTGATTCATTTGAAAACAGAGATAAAAAATTGGTCGTAAAGCTGATTACACACAAGAATGACATCACTTATTTTACAAACATGTTTAAAATAATCAACTATGTCATTTTACAACTGCAAAGTGATGAGATGAATTTGATTAGGGGGAAAAAAAAATCATTGGTGCTTTTGCGAGAAAATTTCTGTTGAAATAATATCTAGGTAGAGGTGAATGCAGCCACTTTCTCACATTATCAGCATTCTCTGCAATACAGAAATATTTACTTACTTGCTGTCAACACCTGGACATTCTTCATGATGATTTTACAAAGTGATTTCATGAACATGAATATGCTGAGTTGAGTTTTAGATCTTTTTACAGATGCAGCATAATCATAAAATCTAGAAGACTCCTTTTACTCAAGGAAGAACTAAAAGTAAAATTCAGAAATGAAGACCAACATTTCTGGCTTCAAAAATCAGTACCAGGTCTTTACCTTGGATTGAGGACAAGAATACAGAAATTTTTAACTGCTTTTCCATCGAATTTAGCTAAGCATGGGTAACTAATTTATTGTCAAAGAAAAGAAACAGAATGGACATCGAATGTGATAATTTGCAACTGATGTCAACAAAATCCGAACCAGACATTAACAAACTGTTAAAACTCCACGAGCCTCCACCATCTCATTAATTTTTTTTATTACTCATTGATTATGTACTTATCTTAAAATTTTTTAAAAACAATTTTTTACTGCATTTGATGAATGTTTTAATTAATTTCTACTTTGTGATACCTTATATATACATAATATAGGTATAAATAATATGCAACAATATCTCAGTATTCTGCATAATTAATATTATGGATTGGGGGCATCTGGAATTTTTTCTCTCATAAAGGGGGCAGTAATTCAGAAAAGGTTAGGAACCTCTGCCATATAAGAACCAGTTTAAATTCGTTGTTGACAATGCTAAAAGCATGCTCATATTTTACACTATGAGATATGGTTAATATAGATTTTAAAACTTTAGTGATGATGCCGTAATTCAGAATTTCTCTACTGTGCACCTTTTCTACGAAATTAAACAAAGCATCCTCACCAACAGTTTCAGGCTGAAAAAATTTAAATTCCTCACACTTGAATGTTGTAAATTGTTTTGCAATTCGTTCTAAAATATAGAATGATTCTCTTCATTTTTTTATTATGAGTAGGACTGGGAATTTATTGCAAAATATCAAACGATTAAAAGAGTTACCAGTTCCTTTTAAACTATGAATAGGAATGGTAATGCAGGAATGTTGGCATATGCAGTCAGAAGGCATATAAGAGCAATTCTACACTGCACTCACTATTTTGAATCTCCTCTAAAGCATTAATTTTGTAGACCCTCTGTATGTACAAATTCTTTCTTGAAATAGTTGCACCAAATTTATGCTTATTTTTATGCTTATTGCAGTCATTGCAATTAGTTTTCAACAGTCACAAATCGTTCTACATATCTAAAATTTAATCATTCTGACTTCTTGATAACCTAATGAAATGCAATTAGCTTTATACTGGTCTTCTGCTATCTTTGAAGTATATGAATTACTATTTAATGTATGCTAAATCCATAGCATTGCTGTTGAAAACTCACTAAATCTTTCTATTGTTTTGCCTGATTATTACTACAGCTTCTACCAAAATGCGATATAACACTACTAATCTTGTATTATAATTTTACGGCAAATGAAAATCTGATTATCATTTGCTAGACTATCTCACATGTAAGCTAAATGTGACAATGGTGTTCAATCGTAACAATCACGACCATGGGCACAAACACACATGAGCCGTTCAGATCAATTTATTCTCGAAATAGGTTGGATGGATATGAATCATGTAGTGGGATCTTCTTTTCATTCCTATTCTTCTAGTTTATTTTTACTCTGTTAATAAAGCACACACTTAAGAAGGAGGAAATTACTTTTAAGTAATCTATGATAATATGCTGATCATCATTTGTAATTAAATGTTCAATTACATTGCCCTTAATTTTGTGCATTTATCTTAGTAAAAATATGAGTATTTTCAAAACTTATATTATTGTATACATAATTCAATGTCAAGTGTAATAAATAATGATAACTATAAAAAATTTTTATTATTATTTATATTGCCATTACAATAATAAATAATTAACTACCCTATATTTAATAATATTATGTATCGTTTTTAACTTTGACCTAAAATGTAGGTACAACTTGCAAAAAAAAAAAAAAAAAAAAAAAAAAAAGCGCACTTTTTGTTAAATAACATACCAATACCAAACTACCAAATTTTGAAAAAATTGCAAGTGTATTTTTTAAAAAATTAGCTCTCAAAATTTTAGCTTCTCAATGTTAATTCAATAAATTTATTTGATTCTTCCTTTCCCATTTCGAAATTTAGGTTTATTTCAAATAAAATTTACCCTTTTTTATGATTTTTTAAAATTTGTATTTTTAAATAACTTTTCATAAATTTTTAAATTATAACCTATAAAATTTTTACCATCATTTAAAAGTAGATGTATTTCTAAGCATACCTGCAAAAAAAATTAGTTTTTTTATTGAAAATTTCCGAAGATAGACATGAATTTATATATTGGCACATTTTGAAATACCCATGAAAAGATTACATAAAATAAATCTTTTTATTTTATTAAATGACTACCTTATTTAGCATACTAATTATATGATTAAAAACTCAGTTATCAATTTAATTTGCCAAATCAGTTAAGCTTACTTTAAATTTCTATATTAATATAATCATTTTTTAGATATTCAAATAAAATATCATGTTTTCAATAGCATCTCACCAAGCATTATAATGTCTAGGGTCTATTCTTATTGCGTTTCGGAAACAGGTCATTGCTTTATCCATTTCTTCTGTCATTACATATTCATGTCCTAAAAGAGTATGAGCATATGAAAAATTTTCATCCACTTGAACAGCTCGTTGCAGATACTTAATAGCAGTTTCATGCTCTTTTTGTAAGCTGAAACAGTTACCAGCAGCACACCAAGTCTGCGAAGAAAACATTTTAAACATAAGTATTTTATACAGGAAGAACAACAGCAGTATGTTCATTAATTAATCAAGAACTATTGAAAGAAAAAGTACCCAAATAAAATGAATATCCCATTTACCATCAACAATATATCAAAAGAAACATTTCCCACAAATTGTATTTTCAGAATACTTGATTGGTTGATTTATGAAAAAACCAGTTCTTTGGAGAAATCATACTAGGAACAGGGCTTGAAAAGCAAAATTTTTGGTCCAGTTTCCAAAAATTCTGCATAAAGAAGGAGGACACAGCTTTCAACAAAGCATATCTGGACTGAAACCCTCCAATGAAAGGGGATGGACATAGACATTTCTTGGAAAAATTTTCTAGCTTCAAACATCATCTGATATGATAACCCCACAAGAATGCACGCTTTTCATAATAACTACTCCTTAGTTAGTAAAATTTTTTTTTATCCTCACAAATATGAAAAACCTTTACTAACTAAAACGTTTTAAGTAAATAATATGAATGTTTAGTTCACCTCATACACAATCTTAAAGATATAGCTAAATCATGTGACTGCAAAGAAAGCATGATTAACATGGATTATATTTAAGCATAATTAATTGTGTAATAAATGTTAGAATATCAAATAGCATTTGCAATTCATAAATATTAGAATAACTGAAATATTCAATATGTTTATTTGTCTCATTCACAAAGATATCATCTGGCATTCAACTAACCTGAAAGCTTAAGTAACCGAAATATTTTAAAGTTTTAAATTCCCTGCCCTCCACCCAAAATTTAGCAAATGAGAGATTTGTAAAGCATGCACAGGACACTGTCACCAATACTGTTATTTGGTGCCAATACTATAAACATAACATCTCAATATATGGTTATCCTTGGTTTTATGCAAATCCAATTAATTCTTAATAAACTGGTTCAGTTTTTGTAAAAGACGGATTAAGTTAACTGATTTTCCTTCATACTTTGAAAAATGTTTGAAATTTGGAACCTGACTCCTACAGCAAGCAGTGAAATGCATATAAAAGTTATAGGATCAAGGCATACAAAATAGTGTATGTTAAACGGCATGGAACTTTATTTGAAAAAAGATAAACAATGGCGATGCAACATAAAAATTATAACAAGTGATTTAATTTTTTTATATGTTACATCTGTTGATTATCTAACTTAAAAATTATCTGTTCCTTTAAATTTCTGCCACAATGACTGCAACAGTGTGCGACAGCTCCACAAACTTTTACAGCTGATAGAATTTCAAAACTGAATAAGATGTTTTACTTTCAACATTCATTTAAAATGTACTTTTTTCTCAAAATCTTCCATAATTTAAAATGTAGATTTTAAAAAAAAAAAAAAAAAAAATTCAAACTGACAACAGATAAGATAATCGTTTCATAATTCTAGATTGAAATTTCTTCAACACATTTGGCTTTTCTACTATGGGAATTTCATAGTTCAGATAAGATGCTTTACTTTTATATGTTTAAAGCCTGTGAAATATGTTGGCTTTTATGTCTGAAATGCATTTTTTTTTCCTGAAACATAACATAACTTTAAATGAAAGCTTTCAATATTCAAGTTGATAACAGATAACATGATTAACTTTAGAATAGAAATTTCTTCCATTTATTTGGCCATGAAATTGCACTTTTTGTATGCTCAACTATCCAAAATTTTCACATGTCCGGCATTTTCCAAACTTTCCAGATACTTGAGCTTTACCATATCCATTTCAATATTACTCTATTAGCCTAAAGAAAGCAAATTCATTATTGCTTGATTAAAAATTCTAACAACACTTATGATTAGATTAATTATGATAAGACAAATTAGAGCTATCTGCTTAGCTCAATTTTAAGATTTAAGACACTTTATGCCATATTCAACACTGCAAACATTTACTACAGTCAAACTGTTCTGTAGCAAACATGGTTTATTATGAACCTTCCGTTATAGCGAAAGAACTTTTTGGTCCCATTCGATTTCCTATAGACATAATGTTATTTTATATGGCTGTAGCAAATTTCCGAATATATAAAAATTCAATAAAACAAACAAACTTTATAGATATTTTAGACTGAAATTGTTTTGTATTTTTCAAGAATTTCTACAACCTTTAATAGAAAAATTACTACTGCTGAAATTTATCCTGTTTCAGGTATTACATAAAAACAGTTTTAAATATTTTACTGTACTTTAATCTTTATCTACATCTTCTGTGTTCTAAACAAAAGGCTATGCGAGGTAAGTATAGCATTCAATTTTTGGAAAACCAGGATACACACAATAAACATACCTTAGGAAATCTTATATTGTCATGCACCAACTGAACCATTGATACAAAAAGCTTGACCTGATTCTTTTTTCTATTTCAGTTCTTTGATTGAGCTGCCAGACAGCACTGTTTTCAAGACTAATGCATATTCATAATTGTAAATGCGTATTTTAAATGGAAATTTGTAATTGAAAGGAGCTTTATTACTCTATGCCACGCCATGTGGCAGCTTACATCCAGAATAGAGATGGGTCAACCCCTTATTGAGCTCATTAATTTGTAACTATGTAACTCTGAAATAAATCATTCAATTGTTCTGAAATTTTAGTCATTTTCTATTCTGCACATAATCTTCTTATCTACCAATATTTGTCTCCATCGAACAACTCCTTCTTGGTGCGCTGATTTTTTTTGTTTTGTTATAGAGTGTATAGTATATATATACAGGGTGGCTACTAAAGTCTGGGTCCACTCGTTTAACTCCTGAACGGTTGCACCAATATTCATAAAATTGGTGTCTAGGTATAGTAAAGTAGCTATGCGCTACTGAATAAGATAGCTTATAAAGCCACCTGATGGAAAACGGCGCAATTATCCTTAACGTTCACTTATCTGTAAACGTGTGGTACCTAACTTTAGTGGGCACCCTGTATATATAACGCTGATACAAAATCGCAAATATTTCAAAGTTATGTCATTAGCAGATGTCCAACCTTAAGATATGATGTCTTATATAAGACAATTTCAATCATAACTTAATGATAGTGCCTTTTTTTGTCAAGTGGTACAGATTTATTTGTACCCCCAATAATAATTTGCATTTTAAATTTAGTGTACTTGCAATCTTTTTTATAATAGGTAGTATATGTTCAAAACTATAAATTGTAAAAATAGAGGTTGTTTTAGGGCTTTTGTGGTAGAGTGTATAAATTCAACAATTATTTTCCTAATATCTTTAAATATCTAAAAAACAAGCATCTCAAAATATATTCAAACAATAATGGCTGCTATAAAACAGCTGCAATGCAAATTGGAATGGGCATTTTACATATAAATAGTGCCTCTACAAGTTTTAAGATCAAGTCTGTACAAAATCATAAGTGGAAGAAAACATCATTCTTACAGTCTTCAACTGACAGCAAATACAAGGTGTCTGAAAAAAATGTACTCGCATTTCGAATGACAAGAAAAACTTTATTTCTGAACATAAAGTGAAATGGAAACGTTTCAAATACAGAAGACAATTATAATTTAGGAATCATGTTCGTGAATATTCAAACTGATGACCATCGTTGTTCGGACAATGCTGATAACGCACACCAAGGGATTTGCAAACGTCACAAAACAGGTCATTACGAATATCGCGACATTGTCTTTCAATTTCCAATTTCAATCAGTTTTTCTTGGTTTGGTGCGATAAACTTTGCCTTTAAGATATCCCCACAAAAAGAAGTCCATGGACATACGGTCTGGGGAATGCACAGGGTATTCAATGGTACCCCTTCGTCCAGTCCATGTGTCTGGAAAAGCTGCATCGAGATGAGCTTGTACATCGTGATAGTAGTGAGGAGGTGCTCCATCTTGCTGAAAGTAAATCTCGTCATCCTCACCAAACATGTGTGAAATTAGTGGACTGAAAAACTCCTGAAGCAAGTTGAGCTAACTCTCACTAGTGACAGTTCTGTTTAAAAAAATAGTCCTATGACGCTCAATGTGGATATCCCACACCACACTGTTACGTCTGGTAAGTTAACATGGTGTTCAAGTGTTACAGTGAGGATTTACAGGACATCAATACGTGCAATTATGGCCATTAATGGAACCATTTAATTTAAAGAATGCCTCATCACTCCACACAATTTTGTGTGGAAACCCTGTATCTTCTGTACGTTTTGCCAGGTACCATTCCCATAATTGAACTTGCTGGTCAGGATTGTCTTCGCTAAGTGCATGGATTAGTGTTCGAATGTAGCATTTCCAGTGCAGGGGCTTCATAATGCGATAAACACTATCTGAGATGTGGTTTTCCTGAGCAGTTTGTCAAAGACATTTCTGTGGTGAGTGTTTCCTGTACCTGCTATTCTTTCCCAGGGCTCGTGGATGTCCGTGGTCGTTCTGGATGTTTCTTGTTGACGTTCAGGACAGTTACATTTGCTTCAAACTTATCTCTCATGGGAGCAATGGTCCAGTGCATTGGTGGAGTTTTTCGAATTCCCATCTGTATTGTCTTTGCACCTCACTGGCGTTTTCGGTCTTCCAATAACATTTCAGGACAAACTTCCTCGCTTCCAAGCTAAGTTGATTTCCTACTGTGCTGTGATAAATTAATTACACCTGCAGTTAAAAAAAAGGCAGAATGTTAGTGACAGTTAAAGTACGAGTACATTTTTGTGAGACACCCTGTACTATACCACTTGCCCCATCATAAGTCGGGACACGTAGCATAGTATTTGTTCTTGGTAATTTTCGTACTTGGTACCCTTATGTTGTTCTTGGTACTTTTGATAATATTCAGAATGTGATTTCAACTTGTGCTAAAACCATCAGTGTTTTGATTTATATTTTCAAGTAACTGAAGTCTTTGACTTAATTTAGAAATACTTAAATAATCTTTTTACACTGCATTGTTTTGTTTGACAGTGCAGATATTTTATGTCTCCAGACTAATCTATTACTTACCATAGTAAAAAAAAAAAAAAAAAAAAAAAAATTATTGATGAAGATCATATACATTTTGTAGGCATAATGACATTTTAATAACACTGCATTGCATGTATAAAAACAATGCAAGCATGTATTTGCTAGTGGTAAAATTAGAGGATTTTAAATCTTAGCTTTTGGCCTTCTTAAGTAAAGGACTGCTTATATATAATCTTTGCATATCTATGCAACACCTGGCTCATTCATACAGCTGTTTGATTTCTTTGAATGACTCATTTTTTTAGTTTTCTATGTCTCTGGTTACAGTTTCCAATATCTCATCAATGCCATAGTGACTTACGAGACTAGACTTCACTATATCGAAGAAATAGTAGTCTGCAGATGGTAATTACAACATTTTTCTTAGTTACAAATAGTTTGACATAAATGGAATTATGTGACAGAATACTGTTGTGAAGCAAACAAGAGTAATTTGATTGATTTTTATCATGCCTAACATAATGAATTTCCAAGTCTATCTATTGAGTCTTTCTAAAATTTGGAGTTCATCTTCTGTCCCTCAGATGAAAAAAAATCCTTGCGACTTATTCATCTCCAAACAAATGAAGTTGACAACACGGTCTTGACTCATGATTTCTGAAACTAAACTTTGTATGGCTACAGTGAACCTCCTCTAATACAAGCAGATGATCACCTCTTTGTCTCAGGATCATGAAATTTTATCTCCAGTCTCAATTTATTTGGGGAGGGAAAAAAAAAAAAAATCAGGATTTATATCAAATCATTACATGCAAGAATTTGATCCTTCCACTTTGCAATCAATGAATGAGGGATAAAAAAGAGACACTTTTTCAGCTACAACTGTGAAATTTTTTCGATATTCTGATCTATTCGTATTTGAGACTATAAATAGATCACAACAAATTCTTAAGTTTATCACCACATAAATAAATCACTTGTACTGATGGGGGGTATCAGATCACATTAATTGCTTGATCTCCTTATACTTAACACAACATTTCTAAACGCCTTTGTAGCAGCTTTTCCAATTTTACAGCAAGAATTTAGTACTACTCTTTCCAAGCTTTTGATTTACGACAGATTATCACTGGAAAGAAAATTATAGAATGTAGAAAATTCTGTCTATAAAGAAAAACAAGTTAAGATCACAATAGTAAACATTATTAATTATTGTTTGGTAGGTTGGTATAATTGAGAATTGATTCTTAAGCTTTATGTATAATTAAGAAAATAGCATTGTGCAAACTTTGGAGTCCTGGCAGGAGGGTTAAAGCAGAAGTACAGTCAAAAGTCTTGAATCCAGACTCGTCAGGACTTCTGCAATTCCGGATTATCGGTTTTTCCAGATTATAGATCATTTAAATCTGGTAAGATGGCATGCAGAAATTATAAAATTAAAAATATGAAACCGTAATTTATAGAAAGAGCAATTATGATCTAAAGGGTATCAAATTTACAAAAAAAAAAAAAAAAGCTTAATATTTATTTGTTTACTTTATTTAAACATTTCTTTCAACGCATGCATGCATAAAGCATACATGATGCATAGTCTAAATTAGAAAATTGCAACCAGAAAACTATTTGATGTGTATACGTGATATTTATAATGATGAGGAAATTGATTTAAATTATATGAGTACATTGAGATGAAACACTACATTTGGTGAGGAATTATAAGCCGAATAAAATAAAAACATCTGCCCTGAAGATGAGGATAGTGCTGACAGATCAACTTCCAGTTCATTGCGCGCGCGACGTCCCCCCCCCCCCCCCCACCGCAGAGCAGCGTGAAATTGATAAGCAGATTTCAAAATGGTTAGAGAAATAAAAGATATGCCTTTATACATTTTTTGCAGCAATTCCACTTTTTGTTTGATGGACATCGAAACATGCTTTCACTTTTGGCAGCTCCAGCATCGGAAATACTATTTGACATAATCAAAAGTTCAAACTTACTTTTATAAAATTGCTTTAACAGTCTGCAAAAAATAATAAGCAGGATCCGATTCGAAGATTAAGAAACAATGCAATCTGCAACATTAACTGAAATAGATAATTTTAGCCTAGTCCGTCATACATTAAATGCGCATGCGTAAATGTATTATGCGCATGCGTGCATTACGCGCTTGCGTGAACGCATTATGCATTGACGCATGCGCAGAAAGTTTGTAGCTTTGAGGTCCGGATTATAGATCATTACGGATTAAAGACTTTTGACTGTAATAACATTTATTTTTCACTATGTCTTTACCTGCAGGAGGATTAATGCAGCAGTAAATAGGATGAATGAAATTATTTTAATATACTCTCTAGATGTTAGGTTTTGCATTCAAGATACAGTTTCCATGCGACATTTTAATGGAGGAGTAATACAGTACAAGATAAATATCACATATATACATTACAAAGCAAACTGTAACAGAATTATATTAGATAAAATACACAAAGTATATTTTACTTGAGGACTTTTAATATCAAAGTCAGTTAATTCCTGAGCTAGTGTTGATAAAGCAACTTCTTTTTGCAAATGCCACAGAGCAGTACTATAATATTCCATGCCTTGGAGTCTATGTGGCTCTAAACGTCTGACTTCTTCAAACAAAGTTATAGCCTTAAAAAAAAAAAATATATATATATATATATATATATAATATATAATATGAAAATAAAAGGATAGTTATTAAAATCATACCATCTGTTTATAAGACAAATAGTACAAGTAGAGATTGTAAACATTAATTAAGCCATATTATCTCATTTACATGTTGAATAATTCTCAAGTATTGCTTTAATTTTTAAAACATCATCTCCATTCTCAAAGCATAATTACTTGATAGGGTATGTTATTTTCTCTAACAAAAATGTATGCCTCAAAACACTTTTACACCATAAATTAGAAGTGCCAATTAAGTTCTGTGACATTAAATACCATGTTTCTAAAAGGACAGACATAAGCTCATACTAGTTTTGGAATAAGAGCTGATACATTATTTTCAGTTTGAAGGTGTTTAACAACCACATACATTTTATCAGGTCAAGCATTACAATCAATGAACAAAAAGTCCTAGATCCACAGCACACCTGAACAGCCTTACTTGAGAAAGATTTACTTAGAGAAAATATACTGCCTTTTCTCATCTGTCCAGATGAAAATATGTCTAGAATCACTATTTAAACCAAACCTAGACTCTTTTATGAATGTTGTTTAAACCCAGCCATTTTGTTTCCACTGTCAAGCTCTTAACATGCTTTCCTCCAGAAGATGCAGAAAGTAGGATGCAATGCAGTGATCTTCTCACAAAAAGGACTATGTCCATGAAGCTTCTGACAGCAATAGCTCTGCTTATTTGAATACCTACAACACTGCAAAGGGATCTCAAGCCACATGTCTAGAGATTATATAATGGTTTTCGTGGCAAGAATTAGAGCGGGGGGGGGGGGAATGTTGTAGCTACTTTTAGATAACATTAATTAGCAAGATAGTTAACTCTTTTCTGGTTCAGCTCCCGATTGAGACCATGCTCTGTGAAACTAATCAGCTGTTAGTAAAATGTCCAACTACGTTAAAACCACGACCTTTGCGAATTTAGATGGTCTGGTCAGCTTCAAAGTTACGTGATTTGACATCACGAAAGACGTCTGAGCTTTCACCCTGCGCTCTGCACTGCGGACATTGCAAGCGAAGAATTCTACGTTAGTTTATGTGCTGTACATTAACATTTCACTCTGTTTTTTCATTATTCATGTATTTCTTATTACTAAATTTAAGTTAAATAATTTAAGTAAAGTAGTTATGCTGTTTTGGTTAACAGTTAATTACTGATAGTTAAGTTTACTTATTTCTTTAGTATTTGTGAATAAATATAGCTATTGACTTCTGTGTAGAGCTAAAATGAGTTAAGTCTTCTTTCATTCCTGCACGATGTTGCGTTCCAAGTTGCAAATCAAATTATGATTAAAACCAATGAATATATATACAGGTATTCAAGTTTCCAAAAGATACATTAAAATGAGATTTCTGGAATGAGCATTGTATGCGAGAAATAATTTTGAGAAGATGATATCATTTGGTACGATTATTTATAAAAAAACAAAGGCTTTGTTATCTAAGTGTATAAAAGACATTCTAAATTTTAACGATGCTTATCCATGCATTTTTTCTGATTTTCCAAACTACTTAGCTGAGAATCCGACATCTCCGAGGATGAGCACAGAGGAAAAAAAGAGTCAATATGGATAAACATATTTTTAATGAATTTTTGAAAAAGGACAAAAGTGCATCTCTTGAGCATTTTTTTTTTTTTTTTTTTTTCTTAATTGTGGAATAAACCACACATTTCAGATAATTCAAATATAATTTCACATAAAATTTGCTGATAGAAATTTATATTTTATTGCTCAGTTTTAATCTACAGTCTAAAATTGGGTCAAGTACCTATGCATCACTTCATATGAATATAGCAGTGTTTCTTGGACAAGAAGTTGTTGAAACGGGAGTATTTAAAAATATATTAAATGGAATCCTAGGCCTGTTAAACTTGATGCATCAATGAACTTTAAAAATTACTGGAAGATGAGGAATTCGTGAATCTATTTATTGATGAAATTTGGGTGAAAAGGTGACATAGGACAAAAAATCAATTGGCTTTCCTAAGAATCTTGAAAGTATTGAAGCAACATCTGTTCTGTCTTTTATGATTTCTTTATTATCAGATTACAAAGATATCATTATGTTAGTAATAATTCGCTTACGGTAATGTTGCACAAAATTATGCTTCATTTAATTTACGTTGGCAAATGCCAAGAGGATTTCAGGAAATTTTAATTTTCGTGCGACTTTTGATCTTCTATTCTTTTTGTTAGATAATAACTGAAATGAATAATAAGTAGTAAACTTGCATACATTTTGAAAGCTCTGAAGTATTTATAGTTTTAAAGCATTGGGTATATTACTAATCGTTCATTCAAGTTGTTCTTAAAATTGAAAATGCAATAATGATTAATAAACAATTATATTGTGATAAAGAAAAATCAGTTTTATATTTTTTAATTGGTTAAATAGTGTTTATATTTTCTCAGTTAATTATTTATACTAGGGAATCTTTCCGTTATATCTGCGAAATTAAACCTGAAAAATTTGGGATCCGTGAAATCAACAGTAAATTTTGTAAATACATTTTTCGGTGTATTTATTAAAGAATTTTATTTTAGTATTTAGTGGAATTAAGAATAATCAAACTATAAAGATTTATTTATGTTAATAAATAGCCACATGTATTTATTTATTTTAAAACTTTGTTTTTTAGCAAATCCTAAAAAATCATTCCTGTGCAGTATAAAAGTAATTGTACAAAATATCATAAAACATCGGATAGAAAATTTCGTGAATATTTCTTAAAATAATGAAGCTATCAATCTTAACTTTAATTGAATAAATGACCTTTCATATACGTTTTCCCATAAGTTTCTGAAAATTTAATTCAATACATTATTTAAAACAAATGAATCTAAACATTTAACGAAATGTGCATATTCAAACCTGAAGCAAAGTCACGGCAGACTCGGACGCGTTACGTCACATCACTCTGTAGCTAATCAGGCCATGTTCTTCCAGTTGGTCGTGGTTTAACCCACCTCTACTAACAACTTGTCACTTGTTATGAACGCATTCTAGTTCAGGAGGAGCGGCGCAGCAGTCACTCTTCCACACTCTCCTTCTCCACTGCTACGTCAGTGGACAAGCTGCCGGCGCAAGTACATGTATGCGCTCTTCTGCGAATATTATTATTTTGCAAATAAAAAAATGCTTTATAAAATGCAAGTGTTCATCTCATAGCAGCATCTAGGATAACAACATGCACACAGCTGCTTTTAGCACTACAACATGGTGACCACCGGAACCAGACGCAAGCCTGTGAAATTTTGAATTTCATTGTGTTAAGCCTACCATCACATCCCTCTCAACGGCGGAGACATCAGCAGTAAAAATTCCAGTCTTCATTAATGCTGATACTGCTTTATGGTTTCTCATGTGTGAAACAACTTTCGAGTTGGCTTCTCCTAAGCCTATCACCGAATCGAAACTATTGGGTTTCTCATCTCCCACCTGATGCAGCCAGCATCCATGGTTCGCAATATCATAAATCTTGACGCAAGAGATCCTTATACCCAGTTGAAAAAACACATCATTTCAAGATGCGGAGAAATGAAAACTCAAGAAATTCGATGCTTATTAGCTGGAGAACAACTAGGTGACCATGAGCCTAGCAAATTGCTTCGTGTGATGCAGCAGTGTGCCGAGGCACATACTACTGTCGACTTACCTGCAAAAGTTTAAGCTAATCTGGCATCCATTTCCTCACTATCATCACAAAAAGCTGCTGAAGTGGCTGATTGAATTTTGGAAGTTACTCCATTCGAGGTAAGCGCAGTTTTGAATTCTTCCAATGTTCATATTACTAGTACCGTAATTTCTGGAAGAAAGGCCGCATCAGCGTAAACGCCGCACTCGAGAAAAATGGCGGGAAGAAAATTAAAATTACACAGAAACGCCGCAATAGATTAAATTGCGCGTGACATCGTCATGGCCGTATAGATGCAAAACTCAACCTAAGTCCTGATATATGACATACCAGTTAAGAAAAATGCATGAAATGAAACCATAACTCAAAAATAAATTAAAGGTAAGAAATGTATAGCTTCTGTGCCGTTTAGAGACATTTTCAAAAATTTTCCGCTCCCTTCTTGCTTAAAAACTATCCAACAAGTACTTGTACCCAAACTGATGGGATCTGTATTTGGCAGAATGCCAAGAAAAATCCATTCATGCTGAAGGGGAAATACGTCAGAGTTCGTTATTGCGAGGCAGGTGGAGTCGTGTCCGCCTTTGAAAAAAATTGCAGAAAAGGCAGGGGTGGGGAGAGGATGGGTCCTGGAAGATTCATCGAATGACAGAGGAGAGAGACTATTCAAACGGATGAGAATGTTGATTTGAAAGGGGGACGAATGTTATTATTCTGAGATCTCGTTTAGGGTGAATAAGGCATGTAGGTCAGTTCAAGGGAAAGAATGTAAACAAAATAACGCTCGCAAAAAGCAACTGAGTGGTCTTTTGTGTGGGAACAGCACCAGTCTATGCACAATGACAAGGCCATCCAAACTATGTACAATGACCATCATAGGAAATATTTTATTTTTAGTGCACCTAAACGCCGCACCCGCTGAAAATTTAAGTTTTAAACACGTAAATGCCGCGGCGCTTCTTCCGAAAATTACGGTAATACCGAATCTCGACTTCTAGAGGAATTAAAAGAACTCTGTAAAGAGGTAAATTTCTTAAGATGGTCGATAAGACATTCTCATAAATGATATAATCAACATGCCCATCATCAAAATCCTTCAGCCACAGCTGCTTCGGACATTTGCTGGTATCATCAGCAGTTCAAATCGAAAGCAAAAAAGTGTACACCGCCATGTTCTTTCCAGGCAAATGCCAACAGGCAGGAGTAGCGGTGATGTATATCCTGCCATCAACGTCTTGTCGCCTATTTAAACCAGACTGAAAATCGAAAGTGAATTTTCTTATCGACACAGGTTCTGATGCAAGTTTAA